TTTGTGTTTTGTGTTTTTTCTTAATTTTTAATTTAAAATATGTTTGAATTATTTGAAGCACGGACGTTAAAATAGTAATTTTGCACCTTTTATGTGCACACATTTTTTTTGTATTTGACGGTATATTTAAAAAATAAAAAAGTAAATGACTCCAATGAAAATAGGCGTCATCTACTTTAAATACAATGTTATATATATATATATATATATATATATATATATATATATATATATATATATATATATATATATATATATGTGTGTTGATATAGTTCAGCCTTGACGTGGTCAATAAACAGCTTATTTCTGCTGTCTGTCTCTCTCTCTGCTGATGCATTTGAAAGTGGTATCGAAGCTACGGCTAAGGTGTAGTTGGTACGAGATAGATACTAATATCATATAATCACTGATTTCCGGGACAAAAGGCGTCCCCCAAGGGGTTACGGCGGGACGGTCCAAAATTGATCCAGAAACGGGACCGGGGTTAGCAAACCTAGTCACGGTGCTCAATCTCAACAGAAATTAGCCATCAGCACGGAGACTAGACATCTGCACATGACAGAATTATAAAATTATAGATCGGAGACAGATCAGACACAGGACCGACGACTTTTCGTCCTTTCAGAGGCACGAGGGCAAACACCGCCAACCTCCTTAATCCGGTTTGGTACTGATAATTTCTCGACAGAAAAACTCAATAGGTGACTTTTTAGAGCAGAGTCATAGTCTTGCTGTGGTGCTTTAGACATATCATTCGTGATCGTGTCGTCACATACGTTTCATGAGTCAACATTAATCAGATGGGTAATTGGCAATGGTACCATTTAAATTAATAAATAATCAAAATATAAAGATTTCAATTGTCATTCAAAAAAAAAAGTTATATTATGAGGTTACCCTAAAAGTAAAGTCAGAAAAAACTCTGCAAGTTCAAATACCGCACGAAATAAGTATTTGTATCGCCTCCAAATAATTATTTTGAGTCTGAAGGTTTATCTTGCCTTTAAAATGAAGAAACAAGACCTTACCCAAAGACTGCTAGACTACACGGTCTATCGACTTTTCTGACTTTTCTTATCGACGTTTCACGACACGGGGTTGCAAAACACAAAACACAGAAAACCTTTTTTCGCTGTCATTTGTCGGTTACTCACTTGTTACTGCGAATATCCTCATTTCGAATTTTATCACGCAGAAAAACTCCGAGCCACTCGAGAACTTTCATTTTAATTCTATTACAAAAATGTTAATGTAAAATAAACTGCATTAATGAAACGCAAACACGCAGCAAGAATTAAAAATAGGCCAGTAATTTTTCAACACAATTATCCACGTATAAATTATGTGAGCAAAAAAAAATCGTGTTCATAATGGCTGTATCATTATACTTACTTTATTGATAAATAATCCAACAAAGCACCATCAAAACAAAGAAAATTTTCCAATAATTTGTAATGAAATAAGCCGCGGGTCTGTCAATGATTGACTTGTATCCGAATAATCATTACATTTCTGTATTATTTTGCTGCGTATGTTTTTATTTTTATTATTATCCAAACACGACAATGCCTAGAGAGTATTGTAAGTTACATAATTGGAAATCCTTAGATCGTAGTTAGAAAAACTTATTTTTAAATCTATGTTCTGTACCTTTTAACCAAGAAATATTTTTGATTTCATTTTTAAATCTTTTAGTGTCTATTATCCTAATTGTTAAAAGATAATATTTTTTTTGTTTCTTTCTGTGTTTTTATTTTTTATGTATTTTTTTATACCTAACCATATACTTGCATGATATATTAAATAGGAGAAAAGTACGGATATGTCAGACGACCAATTATTTATCGCTTGGAGGATACAGTTACGTGTGAAAAATGGTTGATTTTTTTTCTTTCATAAAAATTCCACTACTTTACGTATTTATTCATGGGGGTGCAAAAAGTGTATATCAGTATTTATATTTTGAACTTATTATTAAAGGCTAGTCTTTGAAAAATAACCCTGTATATTTCCAGCTTGAATGACAATTAAAATCGGTACATATTTTACCAAGTAATGTCATTAACACTTGCTATTTGATTGGTACCTATTGCTAATTATTCATCTGATTGATGTTGAGTCATGAATCGTATAGTATGACAACGTATCGTCATGTCGTATCGTAATACTATTATTAATGATAGTTTTTAACTTTCTCTAAAGCACTACAATACGACTTTGACTCTGACTCGTTGTTCTAATGGTCATGGAGCGGGTGAAAAAATCACTTATTGATTTTTCTGTCGAGAAATTCTCAATAGAAAATTGGATTCAGGAAGGTGTTTCGCCCCAATCCGCCCGCCTCGGAAAGCACGTAAAACCGTGGCTCCTACGCCTGATCTATATCTCCGGCCATGTCGGATAGCCGTCCGATCGTACGTTGAGAATAAGGGAATACAGAGTGCAATTAAATCCTGTTCTGCACAGATGGCTAGTCTGTGTTAATATCGGTCCCCGTCTGGAGGACATCATAATTGTTAAATGTTTTTCAATAATTATTATTTGTAATTATATTGAATTAATTATTATTCCATTCTATTCCTGCTACATTGTATTATCCTCAGTTAACTTTATTGACATAGCGGAAGCGGTGATCGATACGATCTAGGTTGCTAGTTAATAATATTATTTAAAAGTAAATAACTAGTCCTAGTATTTCACAACCCTGATAAGTTAGCTTAAAAATGTGACAACGTGATTAAACAAATTATATAAAGATTGAGTTTACTCTCGGGTGATGTCAGTGACACGATTATATTATAAAGTCTAGAGTCAAGAGTTGTGGTAGCTCAAAGACTAACCGCCTCCCCACAGATTGCCTCATAAAGGGTATATTTGTCATACATAATATTTGCTACGCTCAGCAGACGCGTTGGCAACGGCAGATATAATTTTCTAGTTTTTATAAGAAATATGTTGCTACCTATCTCTTGGTTTGTCTGTTTGACTCTGTCGCTTATTACAAAAAGCATGGGATGAGATAGTGGATATTCTTACACAAAGTTACTACCAGTAACATGCACATGGACAAAGACAAACGAAACGACAGTAGCCTAGTGGGTTGGGTGCGGACTGCAAACTCAGAGAGTCGTAGGTTCAAATCCACCATTCGACATCTGTGGTGAACCGCTTTTAATGCAAGCATTTTTGAGCTTACTTAGAGTGGTTAACGGGATTGTTAGTAATGTTAATAGCGTTACAAGTATTCTTTAAAAAAAAACTCGACCGGACCCGGAATTATTATTATAATAGTTATTTACCTATGAAATTGCCGTTTTGCAGTACTGGCCATTTCAAATAGAAATAATTTTTGTTTGGCTAAGAATTCTAATTTCAAATTAGTTTTATTATAAAAACATGTTTTATTTTTAAAAAATTAGTCATTTGTTTATTGATTATCTATATGTATTCATCGCATTTGAATCTTTATCGTCATCATGGATACGTTAAAAATTTGAGTAATTACGGCGTGGCGGCAACGCGGCACAAGTGACACGCAGCATCAACGACATATACGGAAAGAATACTACAAACGAACGCACCACCTGTTATTGATGTGCCTGCTTTCGTTCTGGAAATTTCGACCTGAAAAATTCACCCTGTAGTCATCTGAAAACTTTGGTTTGATTGTGAAAGCTGATGATACTCAATCTACGGCTGAATTAGCAGCAGCTTTTTACGTTTGTATCAAAACAATATTGTTCCACTTGCGTCAAATTGGCAAGGTCAAAAACTTGACAAATGGGTGCCCACTGCGACGAAAAATGGAATCTGTTTGACAATCGCAAGCACTCACCAAATTTGTTGAATCCTTTCTCAGCACCCAAAAATGCCCTAAACGAAAATTTATCCCTAGAAAAGTGATGATCGCTGTTTGGTAGTCTAGCGCCGATGTGGTTCACCATAGTTTATTAACAAACCGGATGAGAATTACTGCAGATGTGTTCTGTCATGAAATGAACACAAATGGAGAAGGTCCGCACGTAGCGTTGTTCAATCGCTCATCCCCACTGCTCCCGCAAGACAATGCGCAACCTCATACTGCACAGCAGACGGTCTCCAAATTACAAAAGCTAGGTATGGAAGTCCTCCGTCATCCTCTTATTCACCAAACCTTGCGCGTTTAGACTTCTACTTTTTTCTAGAATTGGGACAAATTTTTGGCGGGAAAAAATTCAGCAGTACAAAATGCCTTTGAAGAATTTGTTGCCTCCAGTATAGGTAATTTCTTCAAGAATCAATAAACTACCACTGCGTTGGCAAAGATGCACCTATTGCATAGGTGATTACTTTGATTAATTCAAATAAAAATATAGCAAAAAAATTACGTTAACTTATTTCATAAAATCGTCAATTTTATAGGTAAAGACCTAATATATTGGAACTCGTAGAGCTACGCATCGCCTTAGGCAAACGTCTAAGTTGTTATTATAATGAATAAGGAGTTAGCAACTATAGAATGACATTAATGTTCAATAGTATTGCTTTATACGGCGTTCTTTTACATTATGATTAATTTTATTATGACAAGGATGTAAAAATGTTACGGAATATTTTACAAAAAAAAAAAAATATAAAACTACTCGCTGGTCCGGCATAAGTTGGTCTGCCCAATGAGTTTCACCTCAAATTCGCTCTGAACTTTTTACAGTTTAAACATAAAAATTAACATCTCGTTCACAGCGCCCCCTTTCGGGTGCAGGTTTTGTGATTTTCTTTTTTTGCACTACAGTAACATTATATTGTGAATATGAGTCATTTTAGTTCATAACAGAATTGGTAATAGCTAGACTAAAGTATCATCTATAAGATCCTAGAATAGCTATAATTCTTCCTCTACACAAAAAATATTCTCTGGAAAAAATATTCTCAATCGGTCAAGTCGTTCAGAAGTTACACGATCACTAACAGACGCGCCAACGATTACATAATATTAAGATAAATAGATAAAGAAATGTTACCTTTTTTCCGGCATCCTTGTGCTCTTGCACGTACTCCTGTTTCAGAGGCTCAGTTTGCAGATCAGGCAGAGAATGACTGATGCGGATTGCAGCCTGACGGGATAGAGAGTCGCAGTTGCTGTCCTGGGATTCACGTCTGGATCTACAAAGAAAACGTAATTATATAGGCATGATATAATGTTTTATTTATCATCCATTTGTCAGAGCCTATCAAAGTCCATAGCTGTACAAGCCCCCCCCCCCCCCCCATAGTTTTCTGAATAAGAGGAATATTGTTGCTATAGTTGTGTGTGTGTGTTTGTGTGTGTGTGTGTGTTTATGTGTATGTGTGTAACGTTTTGCAGGCGAGTTGGCAACCGTAGTTTTTTTTTCCTAGTTGTTATCTTCTCTCTACCACTTAGAAGCAGATGATCTCCAAATATATTTACAAATTATCATTGAAGATATTCCTAAGGCAGTCGAATATTTTATACGTGGTAGAGCCATGCTACAGCTATATTAATAGTATAGTTGTGGCACGAATGGGTCGGCACGACCTGGGAAGGAACCACGCTCTTACAGAATAACAGCGTAAAATAGTAGCTTAATGCTGCCGTGTTTCATATGGTGAGTGCAGAAAAGCGGACACCCTTTTACTGGAAAAGAGGCATTCTATCTTAGTCCTCACGGCTGACAATGCATCTGCATTTTAATCATTCATCATTGTGCTCGTTTGTCACCATTATTCTATAAATAAATGTCGATTTTTAGGGGGTTTCAAAATTATTTTCATACTAAAAAAATGTCTACTACAACCTGTTAAATTAATAGTGTCTTTATCCCTTGTTTTAGCCAAATCGTAACACTTAAAACTTGCATTTCAACGCTCGTCTCGGCGGCCGGGCCTATTAGTCTAGAACAATCAATGGTTCGCGGCCGCCGGGTCGTTTAGACGGCCTGGAATTCACACTCGGAACGTTAGGTCGCGTTAAGGCCGCCTCTGATTGCATTGTCTTATTTGGTGCGTTTTAGGTGACAACGAGGCTTTGTCTTGAGTTTTGAATTATTAACTTAACTTCGATTGCCATTAATTTGCGTCGACGAGTTACTTGTGTGGCATTTTAATATCGTACGAAGGAACTTTTGCTTTGTCGGATGGAACGCTAAAACTTTGTGACTCGAGAGGAGATCGCGTTCGTGCTCGATTATAATTTTGTGCTAAGTGAACATGGGACATTAAACTTTGACCGACCGTTCTTAAGTTGTGCAGTGTTTCATGTTTTAAGTTCGATTAACGTTGATTTATTTAAATTTGAAATTAATTAAATGTACAATAAAGTTGATAAACTAATATAGTGAAATAAAAGCAGAAAATCACAATTGGTGAACGCCCACTGGAGGGATCGCACATTGTGGAGAAAAGCAGCGCATGTTTCACACACCACTTTACATCCAGTTACTTACCACCTGACTTTGCCTTGTGGTCGACCCTACCTCCGGAACTCGGTAAGTTGTGTTTGCTTATTCAGCCATTACTTAATAATTATCCATAGGCCATTTGGCCCGAACCCTCTGGTTGCTTGGCGAGTGGGCTACCATGGGCTCTAGCCCAGTCGGCTTCTGTCGGGGCAACCGAGGGCCGTAACATCCCTTATTATGTATAAATGACGTTGTTAAAATTTTGTGATTAAAATTTTATCCTTTTGGATTCCAGTCTTAGTTTGGCTGCTCAAATTAATTCAGTGAACAGTAAAATGTGTGCAACATATACGCTTCACTCTGGAGGCTTAACTACTTTTTATACATTACCACAAATATTACGCTTGCCCAATCTTTACTAATCCCTATCCTTGATTATGCAATGCAATCTTTTGTTTGTTTTTTCTCAATATTTGCTTATTTTGGTATATTAATATTTCCTTGGTGCACAATAAAGAGTATTGTATTGTATGGTATTGTAAGCGGATTGATAGTCGCAGGGCCAGCATCACCATTTCGCAACTTTGGCACTGCTTTCGTTACCAGTCTGGGTAATTTACCCCTGGCGTAAACGAGATGGTTACATTACTATATATCGACGCTTACGGTACCCACGGAACGCAATAGAGTGGTCGATCCAAAGCCACCATCATACGGTAAAGTTACTACATATTTACTTTGTATTTGTGACATCTGCTGTAGTAACTATCGAACTCATCCCATCCACGCGCTGTAAAGTTTTTAAAGGAATAACTGTATCGCGACTGGACATTGCCACTGATAACAAGAAGGTTGGTTTTTTCTGGCTCAAAGGGAAAAGGTATAGCCATTCAGCAAGATAATGCTACATTTACCGACACTTCGCACTTTAGAGTAGGACGGTATGATAATTTTACATTTTAGTCTTTATAAAGTTTAAAGAAAGATTAATGAATAATGAATCATCTTATGTACTTACTGAATATACACTTAGCACTAAGAATAAGGGAAGCCACTGTTTCCTGAGATACAGGTGATAATCTAGTTCAGGAGACAGAGCTCTTTTGTATCTAGAAAAATTAGATTGCTAATAAACGTTATTTTATTATTATTTTATTATTGTGTCAACCTTGTAGTGACGGCGCACCCCTTATTACTAGGAATGAGGCATTCTATCTTAGTACTCAGGGGTGACAATGCATTTGCATTTTAATTCTTAGTCGAAGATAGATTTAGGTGTCTATGGACTACAGCATCCACTTACCATCTGGAAGGAATTGTGCTCGTTTGCCAACCCTACTCTATGTATATAAAAAGGAAATGGGCAGCAGCATCTTTCTGATGCGTGGTAATCAATGGCGTCAATCTATGGGAGAGGCCTATTTTCAGCAGATGACTTTTAAAGGTTGTAATAGATAATATAATAAATAAAAGTTAAAGCTAAAGTAACAGTCTGTATATGTACGCCCCACAGCTGGGCTCAGGCCTCCTCTCACTTCTGAAAGGGTTTTAGGGAAGTGTCCACCACGCTGTTCCAATTGGCGAACTTCACATGTTTTCGAAATATTTTTGTTTTTTATTTTTTAGACATTCAGGTTTCACCATGATGTTTTTATTCACCGCCGAGCACGTGCTTTATATAGAATGAAATAAATGCAACACTATTATACCATAAAACGAGCCCTTAACTAACGATAAGTTTCAATATAGGTATTCCAATGCCGAGGAATACTGGAATATATCGTAAGTTATGAGGAAAGCCTGCACTCCATATCATAACTTGTAGCTATTGGTGCCGAATCATAAACGATATCTACTGTTATGCTTCTGATTCAATAATACTTTATGACAAAATCGTAATGATTATATCGCACATGTCGGTTGATCAATAAACGTCATATCTTTATTAACATTCATCGTATATACATTTATGTTATCACTTTTGCGAGTTGGTGATGTGAATAAAGTTTGAATTGAAATACTTTTTGAGTTCTAGAAACAAGCATTGTACAGTCTCAGACTCAAACTACATTATAATTCGTAAATTTTTCGATAGATCGCGTTGCACATAGTTCTGTCGCGCTAATAAAGTTTGTTGGAAGCTGCATATATCAGTGTACTATGTAAAATTAATTATACCTTTGGAGTACGTTTTGGAATATACTGTTGGTGTATAAGGTTGCCTTTTTATTAACTTCCCTTGTAACACACCCTCGAATTCGACCTAACCACCTACTGGGAGTAAAACATGGTCCATTCGAGCCGGATCTGAGATAAACTCATCCCCTTTCCGGAAGTTGTCTCAGCGGTGGCGCATTTTTTGGAGCATTAAGAGAGGTACCCTGGAAGAGGAGTTTCCAGCTTCAGGAGTCGGAGCTGTTGCAGCAGGGGTCCGAGCTTGGTGGTGAATCCGGCTTTGGATTTTGGGACAATCTCGGCTGATGAGTACCATTAGGAGGAACTATCAGGAGCCAGGGTCGAGCTGGTGTGAGACAAGGACGACAAACAAGGTTAACGTCATAAGTGAGTGAGCGGGACAACAAAAGTCAGTGTTTCAACATTTTCTATGTTTGAAAGTTAAAGGAAATTAAACCTTAAATTCTAAAGAATATTTACTAGGAAGATTAGTAAAGATACTGCAGTGAGAAATTGTGGACTTTTTAGCTATTTGGGACTTATAATAATTTAGTGATAGTTTACATTAACTTGTTAGATTTTAAGAATATTTGGTTGAGACGAGGAACCTATGCCCGATTTTTGTCGAAGTTGTTATGTTTTTAAAATACTTAGAAATTTTTCTGTGAAATTAAGACTTAGAAAAACTTTCGAAATTGATTGAATTTGTAATATTTGGCTTAAGGAACTGATTGCTTTACAATTAAAATTAAAATTTTAGCAAGCTTTTAAACAGCTGTAGTGTTTTGTGCTGCCTTGAGCTGATAATTTACTTTAGTTTATATTTCTCGCTTTGAAAAATTTTAAGTTTATTGGCCTTTTAAATTTATTAATTTACAATAATGGAATCTGAAATAAATGTACACGTTGATATTTAAAGAGTTTCTTCTGGTTCAAGAAGGTTTGGTATTCATTTTGAAAACAAAATAGTATATAAGATGAAAGAATATTATAGATTATTAGATTATACATTCATTTTAATATTACTGGAAAAAGCTTGAAGCAAAAAAGTGGTAGTTATTTTTCATATGCTTATATTATTATTGCGTGCGAGAGTGCGTGGTGCGCACACACCCAAACACGCACGCAATACGCACGCACGCACGTTCGCACGCATGCACACATACACACACACACACACACACACACACACACACACACTATTATTATTATTTTGATATGTTTTTATAATGGACTAATAGAAAGTAGGTAGTTACCGTCCCATAAACCAGCGCCAAGTTGCAGCACAATGGTAGCCCACGGCTGCCAGCAGTACGGCAGCCATCGCCGCCAACAGCACAGCAGCTACGTAGTCCAGGGAGCTACCACGCACACTGGACTGTTGGCCTTCCAAGCCTTCTGGCAGCCAGGTTCCACCTATTTAAATATTTTAAATATTAAACATGCTTTATTGAGGATAGTTAACAAGTTATTTTTAAAAAAAGTTTAAAAAGTTTGTTCTGTTATAACATTATTTATGATAAGGTGTTTAATGGTAAGTGATTTCTGTGGCCCAGAGACATTTAGATCGGTCTTCAGTTAAGAATCGAAATACAGATGCGTTGTCACCTTTGAGGACTAAAATGGAATGCCGCCTTTCCAGTAAAAAGGGTCTCCGGTTCTCCACACTCACTATACGAACACAGCAACATTAAACTCTATTTTACGTTAATATTCTGTGAGAGTGTGGTCCTTCCACGGTCGAGCCGATCTATTAGTGCTACAACCATAATATAGCTGCTGCGTGGCTTTACCACGCATATTCAAGGGAAGAACGTACTTGCAGGTTATCAGAATAAGTATCAAATGACATCTACAGCCATCTCCAAGGATAGTGGTTTTAAAGTCTTCGTCATCCTTAGGAACTATGAAATAAATATTCCATAGTTTTTCCGTACCCAAACTTTAACAAAGCAGGTAGTAAATTATTTTTAGCAGAGAATATAGATAAAAAAACGTGACTCAGTAAAGCCTGAATATGAGACACCAAGTCAAATCATGAGTGACAAAGGATAATGTAGTCGTTGAACCCTCGGAATACGCGTGCTGGCTTCTTCGCTGCTGTGGGCATACAACCTATCATTTTGTTTATTATAACGTTCTTCGATGTTAAAAATTGTATCATCCGAAAAGAAAATTTCGCGGCATTTTGTCCCGCGTACAGTCGTAACAAAGCGCGAGATCTATCCAGCCTATTTTTTTTTCAAACGCTCGTTCAAAAAATGTTCAGTCTTCTTACGATAAGCTCGTAGTGCAAGGTCTTCATTGATCACGCTTTTGACCGTGATTCTTGACGGTGGCTTAGGCCCATCTGAAGAGCTAAGATTTTTTGTTTACAAACAGGAATTCGTTGGATTCGCGCCTTCACTGCTTTGATGATCGCTGGAGTCCTAACTGTACGGGGTCGGCCGGTCCTCTTACGATCTTCGAAGCTTGAATCTTCAATGAATCGTTTGATAATGCGATAAACAAATCGTAGGGTTATTTTCAATTTTTGTAGAATATTGATAAAAAATCAAAATATTAAATCTCTTTCTATCTTCTTTCTTCGACCACTCCATATTTGAAAATGAATTAATTTCTTTTTTATTTTCGGCAAGCGCAAACGTTATATTTTTGAAATTAGTGTAGTTCATCTAGCCAGTATTCAAAAATCTTAAATAATAACGTTTTGACAGAACTCATGACCAGACTAAGTAAATGCCAAAAAAAAAATTGTCGAATCGAACAAATGGCCACCTTAAAATTACAGAACAAATACAAGAAGATAACTCGTAATAGATAAATGTCACGCGTAACCTTCACAATATTTCCTGGAAGCTACCTAGTTCTACGTAGGACATAAATTAAAGTAAAATATTACTTTATTTTATGTCCTATGTAGAAGTCACAAGTCTATTAGAAATAAGATAACGGTGTAGTATTTTATTTATTTCCTAGATGTTCCCTGCGACTTCGTTCACGTGGAATTTATTACGACTGGATTTCATGGGTTTTAATTTATTTGCGCGGAATCCTAATTTTTTTTCTATACAAATAAAATGATAGCGGTTTGCAGTTGTGCGCACATCACAGAAAAACTACTAGGTAGATTCCAATTAAGTTATCTAAGTTTTATTTCTTAGACACTTGACCTTTATCTCAAAAAAATATTGCGATATCTTCATTTAATATAAAGTTATTAAAGTTTTAAGAAACAACGATTTTTATAAGCACTACGTGTTCAGTGTCAGGTAGTCTAAAATAAATAAAACTTAAGTTACTTCTTTTAAAATCAGCTACCTGCCAGTGAAAGTCCCATCTAAATCGGTCGAGCCATTTCAGAGATTAGCCGGAACAAACAGACAGACAGAGAATAATTTTTAAAAATTATGTAATGTACCGTATATAATTTCACATGCATTCAGTAAACAGCTATTATTTTTACATTATGATTATTTTACTTCAATTTTATTTATTTGTATAGATTAACACATAGAAAACAGGATTAACAAGTCTATTATACAGTTCACTGCTGGCTACAGTCATCTTCTTATGCTTTACAAAAAATATTTTGACCTCAAAACATTATTTTATTTCACAATCATGCTGGCTTCCTCGTGAAATTTTTCGTTACCACTGATGAACTGGAAAATCAGCACTCTTCATTATCTTTTTATAGAATAAGGGTGACAAAGGAGCATACAGTCCACCCGATGGTAAGTGGATTGCTGTAGCCCGTAGACATTTACATTATATACCAGAATCAAAATTTAGTTATGCGTTGTCACCCCTGACGACGGATGGAATGCCTCGTAAGGATTTCCGGTTCTCTATACTCACCATACGAAACATTGCAGCATTAAACTGCTACTTTACGCTGGTAAAACCACTTGTACACTTGACACTGAAAGTATTGATTTTGTAACATCTCTTAACTTTTGAAAACATAATGAAAAGCTTTTAAATAAATTAATAAATTTAAAAAATTATAATTTGTTCCAATGCTATTTGTTCGATACAAATAGCATTGGAATAAATTATAATTTTTTATACGTTGGTATTAGTTGAGTAAACTAATAATATATCTATTAAAAACAATAAACATTTTAGTTGATTCCACGGCCACAAACTCTATAAAACAATAATCATCATCATGATCATTATAATTTTTGAACATAATAAATACAGAGGAATTTAAATTAGCTCCCGTAGGATCAGCAGATATTTCTAAACACATAATGTCCATAAAATCGAATACTATTGAACACGATTGAATTAGCAGAGATTTTTTTACGTAGTAGAGCCATGCTGCAGCTATATTACTAGTATAGTTGTAGCACGAATGGGTCGGCTCGACTGGGGAAGGACCACGCTCTCACAGAATACCAGTGTGAAATAGCAGTCCAACGCTGCTGTGTTTCGTATGGTAAGTGTAGAGAACCGGAGACCCTTTTTACTGGAAACGAGGCATTCCATCTTAGTCCTCACGGGTGACAACGTATCTGTATTTGAATTCGTAATGGAAGATAGATGTAGATGTCTATGGGCCACAGTAACCGCTTACCATCAGGTGGACTGTGTGCTCGTTTATCACCCTAATCCTATAAAAAAATGATCTTACTCTCTCTTCCTTGCACTCTAGATGCAATCACGGCTATAGTTAATAAGTCAGTTATGACGGGTATAGTTCCTTATAAGTGGAAGAAGGCACTAGTGGCCCCTATACTTCTATATGATCTTATCAAAGTTATAAACCATTCTATGTACCACTGCTACGCTGACAATGTGCACGTATACGTGTCAGATTCACCAGATAAGTAACCACAAGCTGTAAAACGGCTTAATGAGGATTTCAACAGAATTGCTGACTGGTCAATGCGAAATGCTCTTGTTTTAAACCCCACAAAGTCAAAATATATGGTCATGGGCACAAAGACGCAAATAGGTAGAATTTGTTATGACCTAGACGTTCTGGGTAAACTTATAATGCGCGTGGATGATGCCATAAACCTTGGTATAACCTTCGACAGTAATCTTAGATTCTAAAAACATGTCCTAGATATGGTAAAAAACTGTTTTTATCGTCTAAAGGTACTATACCAAATCCGTGACCAACTTTCTGTACCATCACGCATTACTCTTTGTGAGGCTCTAATTTTATCAAAGCTTAACTACGGAGATGTTGTTTATGGACCTCGGATTTTCAGCAAAACAAAACGACTAATACAGCGTATGTAAAATGCATGTTGTCGATTCTGTTTTGATATCCCCGCATTTACTGGCAGTTTTCGATATATGGCAACGAAGTGTCGGAATAACACCCCACCACCAATACGAAATTTTAATATAAATTACAATTTTCAAACACTTCCTTTGTCAGTTATAAACCATGGCATTTCATTCTTTTAACTCATCATAGCTGTCTAAGCCTTTTAGCTACTGGCTATAACTTGTATGCAATTTTTCACACTTACACACCCTTTCAGTAATTTTAATTAATTAAACTCAAGATGCAAGTTGTAGGGTTGAAAGGACACATAATTCATACATATTTGCACTGATTATACTATTGTGCTCATTTTCGTCTCGTAGCTGAAAATCAGTGTTTGCTCTCTGAGCAATATTAATTGCTGAGCTAGGACCCATTTGTTAAACTCTAACACACATGTACATTTAGATCTTAAGACTGTTTAACTTTTTGTTTGTTAACGTTACTTTGTACCTGGTTTAGTAACTGAATTTACGATTGTGATTGGAGAAACAAATAAATGCTTTATCTATCTATCTATCTATCATTACAGTCCTTCACAAGTCCACTGCCAAACGTAGGTCTCCGCCAAGAAATGCCACAAAGCACGGTCCTGAGCCACCTACATCCATCGACTTCCTGCATAATCTTACCAGGTCATCATTCAATTTAATGAGGGCAATCCTACACTTCGACTACTGGTACGAGGCGGCCACTCGAGAACCTCTGATTTCCCATCTATTGTCGGTTTTTCGAGCTATATGGCCGGTCCATTGCCACTTCAGCTTGCTGACCCGTTGTGCTATATCGGTTACTCTGGTTCTACTGTGGATTTCCTCATTTTTAAGTCTATCACGCTGAGAAACCCTGAGCATAGCCCTTTCCATAACTCGCTAAGCGACCTTGAGCTTCTTCATACTCTCAGTCTCAGATCCAGTAGTCATCACTGGCAACACGCACTGGTTGTACAAACTTGTTTTGAACTTTTGGGGCATGTCTGACGAAAAGATGTGTCGTAATCTACCATGAACTCACTTTATGTGCTCATATTATCAAGAAGGCCCCTTCTAAATTCAAGTATTGTGACGGGCAACTACGGAATCCTACCATTTTGCGTGACTCGGCGCGCATTTGGACATTTATTATT